TAAGAAACCTTGCCTTGTGTATAAGCACTGGCTAATGGTGTTGGATTTTAATACTAAATATAAGACTTCAAACTATTTTGTCTTTCTAGTTATCATTTTTTCTCCAAATTAATTTATCTAACTTATAAAGTAATAAAATGTTACATAGGGATATTTTATAGAGATCAGGTCATATTTATTATAATTAATTAACTTATTCAACTTTCTTGATTTGTCCAAATTAGTTGAGTGGCTCTAATGTCAAGAACCAAAGGAAGTAATAGTTTTTGTTGCAGCGGTAAAGATCTTTTGAGTGTTCTCAAAGACATTAAATATATATACGTATATTACAATTCCCGTAAAGAAGCTTGCATTGTTTGTGTGATTTGCATATGAGATATACTTTTCTTGATGCTTTGATGGTTTGGGTGGCCCCAGTATGCCACAACAGAAGTGAAGAAAGATAAATATTATGGAGCCAAGGCAACCATAAACGTTTGGAGGACACATGTTCAGCAACACAGTGAATATAGTCTCTCTCAAATTTGGGTTATAAATCAAGATGATAATGATAATGTCGAGAGCGTCGAAGCTGGTTGGCAGGCAATTCTGCAGTTTCTTTCACGTCACATTCATTTCTCCAACAAATATTACTTTCTGTGTCTATCTAACTAACCCCAGGGTTCACTGTTTCTTGAATTATTTTGGAAAATTAGGTCAATCCACTGTTATATGGGGATGATAAACCAAGATTTTATGCGTATTGGACAGTAAGTTCAAATTTCTTATCAACCCAATAATTTCTCATTTCTTGAAATCATTCTTTATTGTTATTGTTTCTTTACCATGTGTTTTTTTTTTCTGCATCCAACAGAGTGATTCATATGGACGTACTGGCTGTTATAATCTACATTGCTCTGGCTTTGTTCAAGTTTCCAGTACAGTGGCACTGGGAGCCACCATCCAACCATTATCTATCTATGGTGGTCCTCAGTATGACATCTCCCTCCTTATTTGGAAGGTACCTTCAATTTTTTCTTGGGAAGGAGCTTATCCTAAATAAACTTTAAAGAACGATTATGAAGAGGAAAATAGGAAGGAGAGAATACTACGAAAGAAAACTTCCAAGAACAATAATATTTTCGGAAGTTTTTCCTCTTGATAGTTCTCTCCATTCTATTTTTCTCCCCATCCAAACGAAGTTTACATGTGTAATTCTGAGGATTTCTCTCAATTTACACATATTCAGTGAAATTTTAAATTGTTTATATCTAAATTTTAGTGATACTACAAATTAATTTATATTTTTGTAAACTGATGAACATGATAACAATAATTAATAATAACAATGACCAGGATCCAAGAAGTGGAAACTGGTCGTTGAGGGCTCAGGATATAAATATGGGGTACTGGCCAACTTCTATGCTCGATCGTCAGTCAGAGAGTGCAACAATAGTACAGTGGGGAGGTGAAGTACTCCTCCGATCCTTAATATAAGACCTATTTAACTAATTTGATTAGATTAAGGAAGCTAAGTAAGTTAGTTGATTATAAGAAATATGATATGTTTTTCCAAAAACATCATAATCATCTTTCTTAATATCCTTCCTTTCTCACTTACTTATGGTTGAGAGACTATTCACAGGAATAATTTAGGAACAATTGATAAATATGAGAAATAAATCTTATATTTAGGACCAAAATTAACTTAATAATTAGGTGCTATATTAAGGACTGGAGGAGTATTAAACAGGAAATCTAAGAGGAGACACACCACAACAGAAATGGGAAGTGGTTATTTCTCCAAGGAAGGTTATAAGAAGACTGGCTATTTTGAACAACTACTTTCCATTGTTAATGAGAACAATACTCTGGTCACTCTTGATAACTTTAAGGTTTTTGCTAGCAAACCCATTGACCTTAAACCTGTCATTAACGGTGATGTCCGCTTCTCCTACGGTGGCCCTAGAAGAAACTCAAATTGCCCAATTTAAACATGAGGGACTTTGAAAAGTCTAAATCCATCCATCTATGTCAAGGAAATAAGGGAGTTCTACTGGCCTGCATGGATTGAACTCCGTAGCCTTATCACTAGTACTATATATAGTTAAGACCTCATCCATGGGATGGATATTGTATCCAAGGCCTCGTATATAAGCTCATAGAATAAGATTGGCCAGAGATACAATTTTAATAACGCTATGTATGTAGTGTTTGGTGTGACATTGTATCATATCATTGTTCACTGAATAGCTTAACCGCAAGCAGAGGGGTCACAAGTAATATAAAAAATATCTTTCCCTCAGAGACTAAGGCCAGATGAGTTAAAAATCATATATAATTGTGTTCTTGGTTAGGTTAGGTGAAGCAAAAGTTGTAAAAGAGTTGCAAAATGACATCAAAAAAACAAAGATTTAAATCAAAGTGAATTCAACTTGACTTTGAGACAAATAAGGGTCTAGCAGGGTTATTTTTCACTAATATACTTCCTAAAACTTGATTAATCACTTCTCAAATAGTAGTTAACAATAAGTCTAGTTAACCCAGGGTTCACATAATTGATTAAACTTTCTCAAGTCAAAACCAAATTTTGCAATCTCAATAAAACATAGCAATCTCTTGCATTTGTTTGAAAAGGTTGCGCTTTGAAAACCAAAAGCCCTTTTTAGGCTATGCTAGATCAATAGATATATCTCTATTCTATCAACAAGCCTTCCATTTAATAAGATAAATTTCCGGTCTAGCGTGTTTTTACCAAAGTTCAAAGATTAATTTAACTTTCTTAAGCTTCAACCAATCAACTAATCAATCCAAATGATGGTCAGTCACAAGGAAGCAATAAGCTCAAAGTAAAAACAACAAAACATTATCATTAACACTAAAGAGAGAGTTAAAACAAGTCTTAATTCATACAATAGATCAAAATAACCCTAGGATGACTATTCTAGCTACACATGTTTAGCAAAGAGCCACAACTATAAAGATAGTTCCTAGCCATTGCAGAAACAAAGAAGAGGAGAAGAAGAAAACCAAGAAAAAAAATGAGGAAGAAGCTTTCAATCTCTTGTAACTTCGAGCCCAATGTTCCCAAGCTTCAAAACCTCCAAACCCTAGTAGAGCAAGCCTCTAAATGAGCCCCAAGGTCAAAGTATATCAAAAAATCACTAGTCCCCCTATGTATATGCCCTAATTTTTAAGTTATAGTGCAAAACGCACAGTTGCAAGGGGTCAGACGCCGCGATGGATCTGGTCATCCGCCTGGCGGATTACATAGCATGGGACTTTGGGTGAAAGGTTGGGCACCACAGTGCCTTACACCGAATAGCATCTTCTTCAGACAACTTGGGCGCTGCGGTGGATGGGGACAGGCACCGTGGCGGATCACACCAAATGCCATCAATCTTCTCTGTTGGAACCGTCATGGTGGTTGTCTTCATGCGCCGTGGCAGTTGGTCCCCTTTTTGTTTTTCTGCTTCCGGTCCCTCTTCCTTGCTCACTCCGGGCCTTTGGTCTACCCTGATCACCCAGACTCAGTTGAATCCTTCTCCTTGTAATCATCTTTCAGCTCTTGCACTTTCCTACACAAGGAATAGAAGCCTTGCACCAATAATCTCCCAATGGTTAGCCTAAATCAAAATTCACTTTGACAAATTATGTTTTCTAACTTTAAGAGGAAAATCCTGCACAATTAACTTCCAAAATCCATTAAAGAGTGCTAAAACAAGTCGAATTAGTAGGAATTTCGAGAGGTTATCAATCATGTACAATATAGTGTTATCTAGTGTTTGACGATGTATGTCATGTGCTTCAATTTGCCGTGGAAGGGACAAAATGTATTTCTTTTTTGGAGATAACATCACCTTTAGTCTATAAAATTTGACTTTGTTTTAGTTACGGTCTTTGAAATGGGAAACTAGTGGTTTTAAGGTTTTAGGGACTTAAAACAATGTTTTAGGAACATAACTAAAAATCTTTAGATGGATCAAAACAAGGTTGAATTTCAGGGGAACTAAAACCAAAACAAGATCTAATTTTATATACTAAAGATGATATTAACCAGTACATACTCTTTATATAAATACGATACTCCCTATGCTAAAAAAAATAAAAGGACATGTTGACTACTTCTTAAAATTAATGAAATTAGTTAAAATTTGTTAAATATAAAATTTTCTTACAACTTCTCAAAATTACCTTGATCAAGTTGAAGTTATTATTTAAGAGTGAGAGAGAATCAGAGAATAACACTTTTTTTTAAATGAGTGAGAAATGTTTTATTAAATTTTGAAACATTTCTGAAATATAATAGTTGTCGCCACTCAACATTGAAAAAATTGAGACAATTGTTTAAAAGGATCTGCTCGGCAAATTTATTGTATAAAAGGACCTGAAAATCATTTTAAGGATCAATAATATCCTTTAGGGCAGATAGATATGAGGATGAAATGATGAAATTGTCATTAAATGAAAACACGTATATATAAAATTTCAGAATATGATTCCTGAAAACATAGAACTTTTCCAAATAGTGAAACAATGTTTCCAGAAAACATGTTAATAGAAGAAAATTTTAAGAACACTGGAGAAGCATACATACTATTGAAGAAGACTTACATAAAAGACAAGTTGGAAACACGATTCCTTTAGTGGTCATGGAAGAAAAATACATACAATTGAAGAAACATGCGTAGAGTGAAAGAAAGATTACACAAAGGGGAAGACAATTTGTTACATACATTGTAATATATCTCATTCTTTTCTTTTACGAAAGCCAACACTATGTATGGTTGCCGCGTACATGGATATCACAGATTTAAACATTAAAAAGTGTCTTTATTTTGGTTATCGTTGTTAATCACCAGGTTCATTTCCCGGGGAAAATCTTGTCATAAAAGGACAATAAAATTAAATAACTTCACAATGTACCAGGACAAATCAGCCTATAAATTAGTGTCATCAAGTCTTGTATATCCCCTTGAGAAATTTGACAAACGGTTCTTGCTTGATATTTGTCACCAACAATGGCAGACAAATTAGGAAACGAAAATACCAGCTGGGTAGAGAAGGTGTTCTTCTTCTTCTTCTTGTTTTTGTTTTCTGTGCGGATGATAATAGCAGATCAAGACACAGTTATCGGTCATAGTCATAAACTTGAGGTTGATAAACTTTTGAAGAAGTTGAATAAACCAGCTGCTAAGTCCATTAAGGTATGTAATTCATCCCCTGGTTTCTCATCCCCATTATGTTTGAAACAGTGAAGAAAATTATTGGTAAGTTTTAGTATTTATGGTAGTTTATGTCAACAATTTGTTTTTCTTAATCCAGAGTCCTGATGAAGATATTATCGATTGTGTCTCTATTCTAAATCAGCCACCTTTTAATCATCCGAAACTCAAAAATCACAAGATTAAGGTGAAACACTTTGCTTGATTGCTTCATATAGATATATATAACTTTAAACTCTTGATAAAGAAAACTCAATCCGATTGATGATTTCATGTTTGAATGAAGATGAGGCCAAATTTTCAACCACAAGATAATATACTTGAAGTGAGTAATGAAATATCTTCAAAATCAAAGCCAATCGTTCAGCTATGGCACCAAAGTGGAAGTTGTCCAGAGGGTACTCTTCCGATAAGAAGAACAAGAGAAGAGGACATACTTAGAGCAAGCTCCATGCAACAATTCGGGAAGAAGAATCTCAAGAACGTCGTACTACCCTTAACCCCAAATGGTGGAGGTCAAGGGGGATACGGGGTACGTACTTGTATTGTCCCTATAGACACACACACACACCCCAAAATGAGAGAGGCTTTAGATTTTGTGTTTCGTTTTGCTTTGTTTGATGTATTTTTCTTGTTTCTTTGATGCTTTTGGAGTTTCCAGTGTGCCTCAGTATTTATTAAAGGAAATAAATATTATGGAGGCAAGGGAGCCATGAACGTTTGGAATCCTAATGTTGAACAATCCCAAGAATATAGTCTCTCTGCAACATGGGTTGGAAGTGATGCTGATCGTGAAAATATCGAAGTTATTGAAGCTGGTTGGCAGGTATTCTTTATATTTTTAAACTGAAGATTGAAGAAAAATAATTAAATTAATAATAAGAAAATACTGACATATAAAATAAAACTTTTTTTTGACTTCTCATGCTTTTGTATGCTTGAATATCTTTTGAAGTTATTATGCACTTATCTATGTAGTTAATTGTCGATTTTTGATTTGGATATTTAGGTGAATCCACAGCTATATGGGGATAATCACACCAGGCTTTTTACATTTTGAACTGTGAGTTCAACTTTTCATAACAGCCCTACATGTTTGATTTGTTAGTTCAGATATCTTTCTTAGTCCTTAGAAATTTCTCTCATTTACCTCTGTATATATGACAGAGTGATTCAAGTAAGAACACGGGATGCTATGATCTTCTTTGTTCTGGCTTTGTTCAAGTTTACTCTGCAGTAGCTTTGGGAAGCAGCATCATGCCCTTATCCCTATACAATGACACTAATTCCCAGTATCAAATCACCATCACCATCTGGAAGGTATATCATTTTACATAATGCCAATTATTAATTATTTGTATTAAATAGGAAGCAAGTAATTTTGATATACTCCTCTTGAAAGTCAAGATAAAAAAGATACTCCATCCATTCCCTAATGTATATAGGAGCTGGTTGGAGATTGAATTTGATTCTAAATACAAGACCTCAATTTATTTTGTTTCCCATATTTATTATTTTTCTACAAGCTAATTTACTTATAAACTGATATAGTGATATAGTGTTACACAAGGGTATTTTATGGAGATCATGTCATATTTGCTATAATTAATTAATTAATCCAACTTTCTTAATATACTCAAATCAGTCAAATAACTCTTATATCAAGGACTAAATGGAATATTATTTTTCCTCAGAATTTTGTAAAATGCCTCACATATTGAAATGGAGAACTTTTCAGAAAGTGCCTTGTATTTGAAACAGAGAGAGTAATTAATAATTGTGATAATTAATGAACAGGATAAAGGCAATGGAGGCTGGTGGATGCGATATGGCACTGATCAAATTGTGGGATATTGGCCTTCCTCTTTGTTCCCAAGTCTATCAGACAGTGCAACAGTGATAGAGTGGGGAGGTGAAGTAGGAAACTCAGGAACTAATGGACAACACACAACAACACAAATGGGAAGTGGGCATTTTGCAGGGAAAAGCTAGTTATTTCAAGGATATTAAATTTGTTAATGGTAACAACCAAATGGTGACTGCTAATAACGTTGTCTTACGCTGACCATTCCAATTGCTACAATGTACTCCAACCTGGCTATTCTGATAATGTTTGGGGTAGCCACTTCTATTATGGTGGTCCAGGGAGAAACCCTAATTGCCCAGGATCATCTTGAGATATTTTGAGATAGATCGAACAAGATGTTGTTAAACTCCTCTGATTTTTAATATAAGACCTATTTAACTAGTTTGATTAGATTAAAAAATTAGGTAAGTTAGTTAATTATAAGAAATATGACATATTTTTCTAAAACACCATAATTATCTTCCTTAATATCCTTCCCTCTTTTCTACTTGATTATAGTTGAGGGAGTATTCATAGGGATAATGTAGAAAAATTAATAAATATGAGAAATAAGTCTTATATTTAGGACCAAAATTAATTCAACACTTAGGTCTTATATTAAGGACCAGAGGAGTACTATGTTTGAATATAACTTTAGAATGTATTGTTGGTGATGAATGGTGATGGCAACGTTGTGAACTCATGCATTGTCTCAGTTACAGAGTATTTTTCACCCCATATTAATCTCCGAAAAAAGGTTAGAACGCTAGGAAAAGTTAGAATTAGGGTCCGTTTGGATAAAATATATTTTGTGCAATTTTTTAGTATTAAAAAATGCAAATTGTTGAATCTGTCTTTTTAGTCTAAAACGTTAAAAAAAAAAAACAACAACATAGGATAAGTAATCAATTAATATAGATATCCCCCCCCCCTTATAATGGATTTTTTTCTTCTTTTAGCAAAGGTAAGAAAAAAGTTTAAATTTTTCATTTTCAAGTTATACTAATAAGAGAAAGAAATCGTAGAATTCAAAAGGCGGTCAATTATTGGGCATTGGATCTCACGTTAAGAGCCCCATACACTCATCATTATTTGGTATGCAAGAACCAACATCTGTAACATAAAAATTTAAATCTCTAAAAGCTTCAATCATAAATAGTATGACTCTTTTAAATTTCTGCATCATATTGATCCACACTAGTTGAAAGGCTAACATATTAAGAAACATAATTAAGAGTGAAAAAGGGAATATAATAAAAATTATACATGTATTTCTTTTTTTTCCGGGAAATAAGAAACATGGCCCCATATTATACCAAGCAGGGTAAATGAATCTTATAGATTACAGCATTAATATTTTTCTTTGTCTGTCTTGTTGCCATTGTTACATCCGGATTCAATTTCTCAGGATAATCTTGCCACAAAATCAAGCACAACAAAATAATATCAGATTCTTATAGTACAAATCATCCCATAAATTTCCGTAACATCAAGTTTTGAACATCCACTTGAGCATTTTCATATAGTCGATTGTTTCATATCTCTCATCTTCAATGGCAGCAACATTAGGAAATGGGAAGACTTGGCCGGCCAATGTGGTGTTGTGCTTCTTCTTGTTGTCTGTACACCTGAACGAAGGTCAAGACACGGTCAACAATGGCCAGGAAGCTACTTCTAGTCAGAAGCTTGAGGTTGATAAGCTTTTGAGGAAATTGAATAAACCAGCCGTCAAGTCTATAAAGGTATGTATAGACAGTATATTCATCTTCACGTTTTTTATCAGCAGGTAACAGGTTATTTTTCCTTGTTTTACTGAAAATTTGAAAATTATTTGAGGATTTTAAAATCTATGATCCTTTGTGTTGAAAATTTATAATATAATTTGCTAAAACCAGAGTCCTGATGGAGACATAATCGACTGCGTCTCAATCCTGAATCTGTAATAACCCCCCTGAAATTCATGGTAAATAAACATTTTCAAAAGGATAATTACTTTAAAAGGCTAACCATGGTAGGAAGGACAAACCTAATCAAATAGAAATCTACCATGGTCAATAACAAACCAAATCTTTAACAGAGTAGTAGCTACTGTTCTAGGATAGTAAAGATAGTTAGTCAAATAAGAAAGGATCAACATTTGATTTTTGATGTGCATAACAAATCCCATCATGAATCTCTAAAACCCCAAAAAATAACTAAGACCAATCATGAATGGACTAGAGCATTTTAGGTCCATCAAAATAACTGCTACCACTGCCCATAACAATCGTAATCAAAATAACAGTCACCTATATCCAAAAAGGACTCCGCCCGATAACTCAAGTCTAGAATGCAGCGGAAAATTAAACGCATGTTAAGTATAACAAAAAGGCCCTAAAGTTTGGCAATATACATCAGTCAAATCATGTATATCAAAATAGAGGCTATACAGAGTGGAAAGGAAAACTCAAGCCTCGGACACCTTCTCCTTGGGACCAACACCTGAAACCCTCGCCTGAAAAATGTTAAATAACCACGGGGTGAGTCAAATTGACCCAGTAACACAATTCCAATTCAACAAGTATCCAGGGAGTGATTACAAGATAGCTAAGCGGGCAAAGTACAATTTAATACATATAAGTAAACATCTTTACAGAAAACAATACATAATAATTCAAAAATAATTGCATGCACAGAACTTCATCAACCATCCTTATAACCTCCTTGTAACCTCTGACAGAACCCATGGGCTATACACATATAATAGGATTCGTCTCTTTTACAAGACTGCACCAAGCTCTCCAATAATGAGGTGTAACTCGGCCAAAAGTTACAGAGCTCATATCGGACCATGGGTTCCCTTTCCTTGGAATATGGAAAGGTGTCAAGTCCCTTGGGCTGACCCTTGACCCGGCCAAAGGAATGGTGATACCGAGGGCCCTAAGAATGTTAATGCCAACCACTGGGCGCCAAGTGGCGGCTATACCACGTGGTAAATAATCAAACCTCCCACAACTACATTTCAGCACAACCAACACAGCACAATCCAACCATCCAATTCCACACAATTTTATATCCATAAAGTATTCTCAGATTCAATAATCAAATTTGTTCAACATCAATAAGATATTCATAAGATGAAATAATTCATGCCCACTTAACTAATAAATTTAACAAAACATAACTCTTGATATAGATATATATAAATACTTTTCATACAAAAATCACCATAACACATATTGATAACATTTATAATATCAACACATGCTTATAATCACATCAACAAGCATACAAGGTAAATTAGAAAGTGGTTACCTCAAGTTCTTGACACAAGAACTAAGAGTAGGAGGATTCAAGACCCAAGAGCCCAAACCAAGCTCACTCTACAACAATAAGTTTATAAACATATATTAATATAAAAAGACTAATTAATATAGCATTAAAATAGTTTATTAACTAAATCCTCATAATTGGCTTATCTAAAAAATTTATCCTTAGAAAAATAATAATTCATCTATTCTTCAAAGTGACAATTCCTAATACTTCCCAACTCTATTTCTCTCATTCACATCATTAATAAGAATATTTCCTTTAAATCCTCCAAAAGTCTCCAAAAAGTGTTTACTTTAACTCTTAGAAAAATAATCATGTACCATCTATGTCTCCAATCATTATTACAATCCTATTCCCTTCTTCCATTAATTATTTCCCATTCATTAGAATCAATAACTTACAATATTTTCTTCAATTTACTCCAAACACCCAACTTCCACTACTTAAAGTCTCTCCAAGAATCATCAACATTACTATTTCAACAACAATCCTCAAAGTTTAAGCATTGAATCCTCAATATAACCTCAAATGAACTCAACTAAGAGATAAATTTTGAAATTAAATCATCATTAATACAAATCACCATTTCTCAACCAATCCCTAATTTACATTGCCTCAAATCAACCATCCAACTAAAATCTAAGTCATAAAACTCTTATTCTAACCACATAAGCTCTATTAATATCCTAATACTAAATTAGAAGCCTTAAAAATTAAAAATCTAACAAGCCCTAAAAATATTCAGTCTGCCATAACTTAGAAAATAAAAAGAATGAGCTAAATAAAAATAGTAGGATAAAAATAGCTTACCTAATATCTTATATGTACCCAAGTAGAGCTCTTCCTTTCTCACACACTCAAACTACCTCTCACGCCCACTCACTGTCGCGGTTGCGGCGAAGACACGGACCAGAGGAGTGACACGAAGGAGAAAGGGGAGGCTACTGGACGGGGAGGCGGAAGAAGGGGAAAAAATGATTCAAAAGTAAGGGGTCACGTGATCCCTTAGTCAAACACTTAGTTAGTTTTTTTTTTTTTTTTTTTTTGTAACAGGTGGGTCACTGCCCACCGGGGATTTAATTCCCCTCCCCCAAAACAAACAGTGGGTGGCCGCGTGCCACCCACTGTCAATATATATATATTTTTATATATTATATTTATCTATATATATTTTAAATATATATTAATTATTATTTAACTATTATTTATTAATTAGTAGTCTAACTCGTAATTAAGATTAGCTTCAATGATAATTAATTAATCTCATTTTAATAAACTAAAATCTATATATATATATTTGGATGTTACAGAATCAACCAGCTTTTGATCACCCGAAACTCAAAAATCACAAAATTAAGGTGAACCAGATTACTTTATTGAGATTCCTCCAACCCTTAATTTCGCTTCTTATTAATCTGAATATTCTGAAGCCGACTCATCATTTTTCATTTGATTGAAGATGAGGCGAACTTTCCGACCTGAAGTAAAGATAGAAAGCAAAATGTCTTCAAAGTCAAAGCCAATTGTTCAGCCATGGCACCAAGTTGGAAGTTGCCCAAATAGAACCATTCCTATAAGAAGAACAAGAAAGGAGGACATCCTGAGGGCAAGCTCTATCCAACAATTTGGGAAGAAGAATCTCAAAATGTCCCTCTTCGTCCATATGTTGCTGGTCAAGGTGGCCATGAGGTACTTATGTTGTCCCTCACTCTACCTATATAAACAAGCTTTTTAGGTTGTTTAGCTTATCAATATATATATATATATAGAGCCCAAATCCACATATCTACGAAATTTGGTGTAAGTGACCAACAAAATTTGCTTTAGTTGGTAA